CAATCTAATAAAACCTAGCAATATATACCTATAATACAATACATAAAACATATTATAATAATAATAAAAAATATCTATGAATAAAAATGATAAACAAAGGCTTGTTTGTCACCAATCTCATTTCTAAAATGTAGAGTAGTCCTGATTTTTTCTCACTGACTATGATGAGTTCAGATTACCTATTAGTCCGAGTTCTTAATTGGCAGTTTGTATGGAGGTATGGTCCCATCTGGCAGAAATCATGAAACTTGGCATGTGTGTAGCTTACATGTGTAAGCTTGGAAAAGAAGGAAGCAAGTTGGACCCCCTTTCCCTTTACTCCCTTTTATGTCCCAAATTTCAGTTATCTTTATTTTTCTCTCGAAACGATTAAAGATAGAAATTTGTCAAGGTAAGAAATATTCCTTATAAAATTGTCTACAAAATTGTTTTTGGGTCGATGTTGATAGGACTTATACTTTTCGAGTTATGCTTCTGGGAAACCCATCATTTTTTTGAAGGTGACTTCCAGCTCTGAATTAGCCATAACTACCATGTGATAGAATATTCTTTCAAACTTGCTATTGGCTGTTGTTAGTTAGGTAGTCTTCAAAGGAAATCCGCAGAGACAACACTTCAATCACGCGGTGTTAGTTAAGTAGTCTTCAAAGAAATCCGCAGAGACAACACTTCAATCACGCGGGGGGGTGGAGGCAAAGTTTATTTTTCGAGCTGAACTTGAGGACTTCTGACTCTTAACTAAATATGACACGAGAAATTGAGTATCATTTTCGAATAAACCAGGACGGAGTATTCATTTCTGGGACGGTTTTGGTACATTTCATACAAAAATATAATATATTAAGTGAAATTGAAAAAATATGTTTCGTTCTCATTCAAACTCTGTTTTTTCATGACCTTGAGACATATTTATTACATAATAACACATACTGAAGACATATCACCTAATTATAAAACCATATTTTATTTTCGAAAATATTAGAAAATACCTAGCCTACGGAAGCCTAAATATTTTTACAAAGTTATGTTTGTAGCTGGAAAAATTTCAAGTTCATAGATTTTGTATGCATAAATAAGATTACCAACCGCAAACTTATATTTCTCAATTGTCGCTAAACCATTCCAGATAGAGAAAGGCCTTCATAAGGAATGTTGTTTATACTGAAGGGCAGATTTTGTTGGAATAAAGAAATTGAGGATCTGGAGTACTTGATGTTTAAGAAGACATTACAGTATCTCGAATAGTTTAGCTGGGCTGTTGATGTTCCACATCAAGTACTCCAGATCTTCAATTTCTATATATCAGCATAAACAACTCTTCAGTATAAACAACATTTCCTATGAGGGCATTTCCCTATCTGGAATGGTTTAGCGACAATTGAGAAATATACGTTTGCGGTTGGTAATCTTATTTTTGCATACAAAATCTATGAATTTGAAGTTTTTCCAGCTACAAACATAACTTTGTAAAAATATTTAGGCTTCTGTAGGCTAGGTATTTTCTAATATTTTCGAAAATAAAATATGGCTTTATAATTCGGGTGAGTATGTCTTTGAGTATGTGTTATTATCTAGTAAATATGTCTCAAGGTCATGAAGAAAACAGCGTTTAAATGAGAACGAAACATATTTTTTTCTTATTTCACTTAATATTTTTATATTTTTGTATGAAATGTACCAAAAAGCGTTCCAGAAATGAATACTCCGTCTTTGATATATTCGAAAATGATACTCTATTTCTCGTGTCACATTTACTTAAGGAGTCAGAAGTCCTCAAGTTCAGCTCGGAAAAAATAAACTTTGCCCCCATCCCCACAGGCGTGATTGAAGTGTTGTCTCTGCGGGTTTCCTTTGAAGACTACCTAACTGACAAAAGCCAATAGCAAGTTTGAAAGAATATTCTATCACATGGTAGTTATGGCTATTTCAGAGCTGGAAGTCACCTTCAAAAAAATGATGGGTTTCCCAGAAGCATAACTGGAAAAGTATAAGTCCTATCAACATCGACCCAAAAACAATTATGTAGACAATTTTATAAGGAATATTTCTTACATTGACAAATTTCTCCTATCTTTAATCGTTTCCGAGAAAAATAAAGATAACTGAAATTTGGGACATAAAAGGGGGGGTAAAGGGGGGAAGCAGGGGGGGTCCAACTTGCTTCCCTTCTTTTCCTGAAGCTTACACATGTAAGCTACACACATGCCAAGTTTCATGATTTCTGCCAGATGGGACCATACTTCCAGCTAAGGAGCCGTACTATATCTGAAATGCCTACTCATAATTTTAAAATTTTCAATTCTGTCACAACTAATAAAAATGTTGCTACACACTGCTTGTTCAAGGTTAAACAAGCATGATTTTATGAATGTGTAATCTGCCATTAGCAGTTCTGAAGTGCAGTGCCAACAAGGCTCTGATGTGGCGGTAATCACACAGATTGCTGTGGACACAGATAGCCATATCTCTTATCACCACCACTTTAGAAAATGTTCCGCCAGGGCTTATGTAGAGTCTGTATAAAAATAAAACCATATCATTAGCACTGCATTTAATAATTTCGTTTTAAATTTAATATTGTATTGTTTGTTTGTTTGTAATAGTTCATTAATAAATTACTTCTAGCATGTTGTTTTCAGTTTGAAAATTAATTTAAAAGTTGATTTGAAAATCTCGAGAATTACCCCAGATTGGCTTGATATCTATCCAGCTACTGTACAGCTAATCACTTGTATGTACAAGCTAGTCTCTATTGTTAGGTGTCAAACAAAGGTGTAAATTATGACCACTAACTAGGTACCTATAATAAATGCCCCCAGGTATCCAGAGTTCAAGTTGGTATCACATCCACAGATCACATCATATTCTATTCCTTTCTAAATAATACTTTTAACATACCAAACACTCAACATTAGATCACTTAATCTGCATGGAAGTACTACAGAGACAAGCAGCTGATTACATGGTAATGGCTGCACTCCTATCAAGCTGTTACACGCTGTTGGAATGACGGGGCTATATACAGTAATCACTGATAGAGAGTTAGTGACTGGAACATTATCTAGTGTTTAGTTTTCATGTGCGTGAACTGTAGTTTGTTTGAAATATTTATAAAAAAATATGCTCTTGTGTTTGTGGTGAGCTGCTGTAATGTGGAAGTATTAAGGACAAAATATAAGGAAGTGCAACCTAGCAATCAGCAATAGGTATCATCATAGAGTGTATGTGTGCTGTGCCCCATGCATTTGTTGTTGAAGTCCTATGGTACCCCGATGGTACAAAGGGCCCTGGAGAGCTTCTTCCATTCCTCCCTGTTCTGCGCCGTGGTTTTCGCTTGGTGCCAGGAGGCTCCAACTGCGTTCAGCTTGCTTGGTGTGGTACGCCTCCAGGTTTCGACAGGTCTGCCACGTCGACGCTTCCCGCTTGGCTGCCACTCGAAGGCGATCTTGGCCAGGTTGTCGTCGCTTCGGCGTAGGTGTGCCCAATCCAACTCCATTTGCGGTGAGCGATTTCCTCTGCGACTGGTGACTGCTTACATATGGACCACAGTTCCTCCTTTCGAATGGTGTTCGGCCAGTAGATTCCGAGTGTGGCCCCGTGCATTTGGCGGCTTATTTAAGAAATACATAGGTATCTGTGTGATACTAAGCGCATAACAAGGTCACTTTGCAATGGATCAAGGGACATAGCGGATCTCTGGGCAACGATGCGGCTGATGAACTCGCTAGGAGAGGTTCGGAGGCGGAAGTGGCTGGTCCTACACCTTACCTTCCCATCCCCTTCAATCAAATAAGAACCTGGATACGTCATCAAACCCAGAACCAACACAATGCCCGCTGGGCATCAATCAATCACCACCTGTAGACAGTCAAAAGAAGCTGTCCCTGCACTATCACCGCGACTGACCAAAAGACTCCTCAGCCTTCAACGATCAGACCTGCGCATAATGGTTGGCATGCTCACAGGGCACTGCCAACTAAATAAGCATCTTTTCACCATCAACGCAACAGACAGCCCATTGTGCAGAGGCTGTCTGAACGCGGAAGAAACGGCCTCTCACGTAATCCTGGCATGCGAGGGAGTAGCTAACCACCGGGCACAAATCCTCGATAGTCCGGGGTCGCTCCAAGAAGCCTGTGAACGTCCCAGGAGACTTCTGAGCTTCTGGAAGGAGCTGGGTTGGCTAACGTAGTCAACCGTCCCACCCAACGCATAAAGGACCACCTTTGAGTCTAAATGCGGAAAAGGGAGCCCACAATACAATACAAGATACTAAGCGCAGGTCTTAATCTCGCATTGTATTTCTTCTCAATCTTTGTCTCTTCTGTTTCCATCTGAAAGTGAAATTAGCTGATAACCTGTGCTGGAAACTTATAAGATCGTTTATAACATTCTATAAATGGGATAGAGTCCAAACTCACTATTGTTACAAATCTGCGAGGCATCGTTCTCACGAGTGTCTTACGACTTTCTTCGCTTCTCCCTTTTAGGCAACTTTCTCCTCGTGGGCGAACTATCTGAAGCGCCGTCATACGACCCGATGGACTATAATTTTATCTTTGAGAGTGCTCTGCCAGTCACGAGTCTGTTTGCTGTATTTTCCACTGCGGTGGGTGTACTGTTCGCTGTACTGTTAAGTTGCGTGTACAGGTCGCACACCTCTGTCGTGCTGGTGCAGCCTTCAGTAGATAGATCACCGCCTCCACATTGTCAGCATGATGCTGCGTCTTCTTTTCGAGTGGGACATCGAGTCGTCCAACGATCCGATGAACACTGGTGGCAAAGTTTTTCGACCACCTACTACTGCACCTACAGGCCTCTGACATGGTTAGATAACGACCACCATCTAGGTAATCATAGACACCAACCGGGACCTACGGCTTAACGTGCCCTCCGAAGAACGGAACCATCTTGCTTTCGGACTATCAGGTGGTTCGGCTTGCAATGTCCTAACAGACTGGGAGCAAATTCACAAAGTGATAAATATCAACTTTGTGAAGTGAACCACCAGGAATCGTACCTGAACCTTCTGCGTCGCAGGCAGTCGCACTACCACTGCGCCACATCGGCTGTCAATATACATAAACTACCTACGTCTGTGAAAATAATCCGATTCTGTTTGATTGCTATGTCTGTTATTTTAACCTTTACTCAACTTATTCTGAACTCCAACACTTTTGTTTTGCTCACATACCTACCTTACCTACATTACAAATTTTGTTTGTTGCAAATCAGAATTGTCTATGTGCCGGAAACGATGTGGCATTTCAACTTCAGTACAATTGAAATTTAGACTGTCTTGCTTTGTTTTTCGATGTGTAGATATAAATACCTATAGTATTGCCTATAGTTATGTTTAGTTAGATCCACTGAAACGAAGGCTAGTTCACTTGTTAGATTCTTGTAAGGATTCTAACTAGATTGAGATTTGTTCAGCGTTCATTTACAAGAGGCCGACAAGTCGTGCTTCCTAAAAATAGATACCGCGTACTTTTTAACCACTTGACTATCCATAAATACGTAATTACTTAGGAACTGCTAACTGTTACTAAAGTTTGTTTTATGAAGAAGGCAGAATGCATAACTTTTACCATCGAGCACTTTCAGCTGAGACTTTGACTCGATTTGGTACATGACTTTCCATTTTCAGCATATGAAAATTTAGCTTTTTCGTAAGTGAGGTACCTAAGGTGATTGTTTTTGTGAGAACTTGCAAAACTTTCCACCGCAGGCAGGGTTTGAACCTGCAACCTTCGCTACCTGTACTGGCGACGCCCTACCATCTGGACTACAGAATTATTTAAGCCGAGGGCTCAATTTTATCCTGCGATTTCAACAAGTGTATTTCGGCCACTAACGCGTTCCAGGGCTTCATCTACCGGAAAAGTTTAAAAAAGTTCAAATCCTGCTTGCGGTAGAAAATATTGCAAGATCTCAAAAAACTAAACTCCATACCTATCTTCTGAGCATACGAAAAGGAAAAATCTAAATTTTCAAAGGTTTAAAATAGCAAGTCATGTCAATCGAGTCAAAGTTTCAGCGGAAGTTACTCGAGGCCTTGAGCTGTGCGGTTTTGCTTTTGACCATCGCACACGCGTGATGTATCACACAGTTTACACTATCAATTAGGTATCTTGCTTTGCTAGTGGAACTGTGTGATAGGCATTAGCTTAATTTACGGGTACGGGTACCTATTTCAGTGGCAATTAATAAAAGACAATAGAAAATGCAAATACTCACGTAACTTTCGATCGATAGGCACATGGTATGACAACACTATTGTTTGCGAGTGGTCTGACTTTTCATTAGGTCACTGGAAATGTAGAGTGGGAATCACCTTTATTTTTGGTCGCTGCATCAGCGCCAATTTAGGCATCTTATGACAGGAAAATGTAATGGCGTGAAGAAGGAAAACGCTGTTCAAATCATTGCATCTTTTATTGTTACACTAAACAGCACGTCATCATCATCTTTATCAAAACAGTAAACTTGATAGTAACCTACCGATCGAGAACTTCTCGTCCAGGTATGGACTGTAGTAATCTCGGCCGTCGAAGTCTGTCTTGTCGACTCTGAGTCCCTTCGCCTTAGTTCTTGTCAAGTCGAGGACGTTGCTGGAGGCGTTGGGTTTCCAGGCGACTCTCATGCTCTTCTTCGGTTGTGCGGCGGCCTTGGCCTTCACCGGCTGGAACACGGTGGACTTGTGCTTGCGGCGGCGGCGCTCCTCCTTGCTGCGCGCGAGAGCGGGCGCGGGCTGCTCCTGCGCCTGCTGCTGCGGCCATCGCTGGAGATTCGTCTGCATCAGCTGCTGCTTGGCGGCGCAGTCTGCGCTGTCCTTTATCTTCTGCTTATATTTCTCCAGTGTCTTCACTCGTTTGATGTCGTTATGCTTCTTCAATATTTTTTGCACGTATGGATCTTTTATTGCGTTGTAACTCGGATCATCCGTGGTTTTTATGTCTACTTTAATCTCGCGGATGTTTTTAGATCGGTTGTGTGTCCCATTGTAAACTAGTATTTCTTTCACGGTAGTTCTGTAGCTGTAGCCGCTGACCTCGACTGTCAGGTTCAGTAGAACACATAGCGGTAGAAATATTAAAATGTTCATAGTCCTCCCGGATGTTGTTGTGTTCGACTGGAGACTGCGCCGCCGACTGACTCTACTTCGTGTTCGTCTGCTGGACGTGGGCCTTGACAATGCGACATTGTTTTATAATGATGTAGTTGAATTGTCTGAAGTATTTTTATTGTTGTTTCCGATATGTTTATGTAGCGAGATGCGGTACAACAATGAGGATGAACATACACAATGTCAATCGAGTGACAAACATTTCGACTACTTGTTGATTCAAGCGATGCGTTAGTCTGACCGCTATGTTTTGTTCCAGTGACCAGCAGGACGTGGTGATGCGGCACCCGCAGCCGGCCGGCGGGGGTGCGGGGGGTGCTGGAATCAATAGGAATCATTATTTTAATTTAAAAGTTAACGCTTCCAAACACGATAGAATTGATCAATAATCATAAACCACTTTCCAGAACGGAAACAATGCGTAATCACTCGTTTTTATTATCATTTGCTAACCGGACAGGTGCGCGGCTGACCTTTACCCACAATCGATAATAAATTAATTTACTCGTTCGTTCGACACGATACAAACTTGACAAACATTGTAGGACGTGTAATTGATAGCAATCAGCTAATGAATGAGTCACCATCCACACTGCCGAACAATTGTTCCAAGTAGATATGCACCGGCTATGGCTTTAGCCGACTAGCCGACTACCGACCAACCGACGTAGACCACGGCCGGCTATTCAGTCGACTATAAAAATGTAGAATAGTCGGTGCATCTCTAGTTTCAAATGATTCACTTGGTAATTTGAAACGCTTCGCTCTGCATATTGGGCTTTCATTCCGATAGCGAAAAAACGCCATTTCAGTATGCACAATGTTTCGTTCAATATTCATAAGCCCTAACATTATCTAACATCTTGGATCTAACATACATACCGTTTGCACAGCACACCACGTCTGTGCACTGCTTTCCACTCTTACATACCTACTATCTTCGCTTGGTATTGGTAAGCGGGTTGAATCGGTGAGCACAGGGATGGGCTTCACAAGGAACTCTTCTGGCACATTCATTCTTCCCATAGCTACGACACGATACATCTCACGACACACACTCAAAATCTACCTAATTAGAAGTAAAGATAATTATAAATCTAATTTATATTATTGGCGAATGTATATATTTTATGCAAAAATTGATCTATGTAGAAGTAGGTGTATTATTATCACTCTTATCTCTGACGATGGCGCCGGGTTGACCTTGATGTGGGCCGACTCGGTACAGCTGGTATTTTTAGATGACTCTGTTACATATTATGATTTATCAGTTCAGTTTTTTTGATATAATAGCAATAAAACAGCGTTTATTTAGAAAGATTCCTTATAAATATCTACGGTTTGTGTCATAAAAAGGTGGTCAGATCACTTTGATTCAGTACAGAGTACCTAAGTACAAACTTATCATAGTGTTGTAAGACGAGAGCCGTTAAAATTACAGTGAGGTGTCTTTTTGCTGTTAAGCTAATCACCGAAATGTTGATACGAATAGAATTAGGTGTAGGATAAGATATAATCATTCATATTAAGTAGAGAAATTTTTATTTCCTAGTAACCTCTTATCTATCCGCTTTGTAAGTTGTCATGAGAGAGCTGATAATAATGATCGATAATTACCATGGAAATGTTAACAATCTTGAAGAGTTTAACAGCCATTATGCAATTTTGTGATGAAAATAAAACAAAATAAATAAAAGAATGTACATATACTTTCATTCCGATACAAAATTATGTTAACAACATAACAGAGAGTATGCTAGAACTCGATATTTACCGCTACTCGTACCTAGTTATCTTCGCGTAGATAGGTACTGTTCATTAATCTCTGCAAACAATCTTTAACTCTACATAGCACTATTGTCTCGTTTGCTTGGATTGTTGATTAAACTTTGTATTCAAATTGCAACCAGTTAAATCCAGTTTCGATTCAATACTAGGAAGCTAATTCTCCCAATCCTGAAAAAAAAAGTAGTTATCTAATTATTCTTTTGCGACTCTTTGCGACGAAATTAAAATATAACAAAATTATTATCTAACTTTAAAATATTTCCTGCCAGTATTATCTACTCGTAAATTGAGGTATGGTGTTATCGATGAACGTCTGCACAATCGTCTCCCCCGCTCTAATGACTAGTGCGTATCTTTTCATTAATGACTCGTAGCTAATTCTTCGACCGACTATACTTTATGAATATTATCTGTACCTATGTATTTCATCTGGCTGTGTAGGTATGTTTGTGTTGTCATAGTTAGATTACTAATACGGTGTGTATGTTGTCGCAGGGCGATGATCGAGGCGGCGGGGATCAAAGTCAGCATCAAAGACATTTACGACCCGGCAATGCAGAGTAAGTACCTATACAAGAGTCCGTTTTGGCATTAAAATTATATTAACATATTGTGACTAAATAAAGTAGTGTAACTACTGCGTGTTATTACAATAAAATATTGATCTAAGCTCGTAAGTATGCGATCGCACTCGCCGTTAGCGTTAATTTGATGGAATGTGATTTGTAAATAAAAACTACTTGTGCAATGCGACGTCATTTAATGACGCGTCTCAGATAGGTCTGCTACATACAAGCTACTATTACAATGGTAGGTCTTTTTACATAGACTAATTTAGAGCTATTCCTTCAATAAAAACGAATTAACATATATTCGTGTCTAAAATACTGCCATACCCTGTTGTACATACTTACCTAATAAAATAAAAAAAAACCTTATGTAAGTAGAAGTTAGATATTGTCTTTCGAGAAGCAACAACTTACCTAAATTATATAACTGAACGATAAATGGTAGGTATGAGTAGTCAAGTCATGCGTATCATTTCTACTTTTACCTAAATGGAAACCCGGACATAGCGATAGGTATGCTAAATATCGGATAAGATATATCTACCGATTTCCTATGTGTCATGTTACAATTTCCGCTAAAT